ATGTCATGTCTGAGATGCAGAGAGCCTCTCCGAATGCTGCCTTGTGGACCAGAGTCACCATTAGAGATGCTGCTTAGTATTCACTGTCCTTAAAAATCTGAATAAACAGTTTCTAGTTCTTTTGTGCCAAATATCTGCAAAATTTTGTTTTCTGTCCCCAAAGTCACAGGCTATTGTTCCCTTTCTCTGTGTAAGGGGCACTGTCACATGGATCTGACACTCTTCTCAGATGTCTGGGTTCTCACACTTGGAAACAGAGTGTTCTTTATTTGTCTGTGAGTTCTGAGAATGGAGCTGGAGTCAGGCATGGCCCCCACACGTTTTAATCTCATCAGCTAAAGCAGGATTTAGGGCTGGCCCGGGGCTATGTAGATAGAACTCAGCAGAGAGAATGAGGAAGTTTTAGCTGGCTAAGCTCAGGTGTCCTGTGTCCAGGAGAAGTGGTGGGAATTGCAGGCAGACTGGATATGTCACTTTCTTTGTCTCAGACCTGTTGTAGGAAATCTTTCTTTCTAAAGAAACCAGAAAAGCAGTCAGCTTTACCTCCTCTTTCAGGACTCAAGTGTCATTTAGCTGTATTCTGCCCTTCCTCATCTCCTAATATTATCCTTTCTTCATCTCCTTTCTATGTGTTGTAACACACACACACACACACACACACACACACACACACACACAGGCACATTTGCTTACATATATACATGCATGCATGGTAGAAATTGTTTTGGAGGTTTCTCAAAAACAAAACAAAGTAAAACAAAGCAATAACAACAAAAACTGAAAGCTGCCATATGGCCCAGCTATTTCACCCCTGAGCATCTGCTCAGGAAACCCCAGCACTTACTATAGAGATGCTTGTACCTCCATGCTCATTGCTGCTCTCGTTACTATTGTTAGGGCACATTGTGTGAAGGCATGTCTCTGTCTAGTCATTGGCAGAGAGCTAAAAGAAATGCAAGCTGGATCTTGGTATTGTTATTTCTATGGAGCATCACCGGTCTCATATTTTGTAAATATTCATTCTTCCTCACCTGTCTAAGGTAATCTAGAATTGTATCTAATTGTGTCTGTTCACTGGGCAGATGCCCAGGGGTGAAATAGCAGGGTCATATGGCTGTAATAATGAGTTGACGGCCAATAGCTGGGCAGGAAGATCTTTTGAGCAGAGAGAGGCTCTGTGGTAGAAGAAATCAGAGGAGAAGACTTGCCAGCAGACACGGAGGTAGACAAACCAGAGTGGAACGGAGAGATAGACCTGGTCATATGGCGGGATATAGAGTCAGGGTTACTCCAGTAAGAGTAGCTGAGGGACAGCTCACCTAAGGTGGAAGCTTTAAGATATTGACAAGCTTTGAAATAACAATGTTGTTATTTATATAGCTGGTGGGTACATGAAAGTCCTGTTATACACTGTAGCAAGGAAATGAAACCAACGTACACGTTCATCAACAGGCGAATGGATAATGGCAATCCAGTACATATCAAATCAGGATCCGCTCTGGAAGGAAAATGAAACCACAAAATTTGCAGGAAAATGAACAGACTTAGAATGCAGAATATTAATTGAGATTGTACCATCTCAGAAAGACAAATAAAACAGAACTTTCATTTAAGGTCCTAGGATGTTTTTCATAAGGTAGCCACCCAGCTCTACTCCCCCTCTCTTGATTCTTAGTTTTGTAGTCTCTTAATTCTGATATGATTGTGGTGACAAAGTGCAGATGAATGCGCATGGTGATAGCTGTGTCTAGTCTTCCCAATTAGACAAGAATGGACCTAGAGAAATCATCCTTCACACAGCCCTCCTCTTGATTGATACTCTGGAGTAGAAGGGGACTTGAACTCACAACTCGAAGAAAATTAAAGGAAGTACTGATTTCAGAATGCCTGCTCCCTAGTTAGCTTTAACTGTCAACTTGACATAGCCCAAAGTTTTCTGTAGAAGTCTGGGAGTTTGGAGGACTGCTTTAGTTATACGGGTCTGGAGGCATGTCTGTTTTCTTTTCTTTTATTATTTATTCTTTAATCTTTGTTTTTTACAGTCCAGACTTTATCCTCATCCCCATCCACCTGCTAACTGTTCCATATCCCACACCTCCTCCCCATCCCTGTCTCCAAGAGGATGTCCCCACTCCCACCCCACCAGACCTCCCCACTCCCTGTGGCCTCAAGTCTCTTGAAGGTTAGATGCATTTTCTCTGACTGAGCCTAGTCCCAGAAGTTCTCTGTTGTATATGTGTTGGGACCCTCATATCAGCTGGTATATGCTGCCTGGTTGGTGGTTCAGTGTCTGAGAGATCTTGAGGGTCCAGGTTTGTTAAGACTGCTGGTTTTCCTGTGGGGTCTCCCTCCTCCTCAGCTTCTTCCAGCTTTTCCCTAATTCAACCACAGGGGTCAGCAGCTTCTGTCCACTGGTTGGGTGCAAATATCTGCATCTGACTTTTTCAGCTGCTTGTTGAGTGTTTTGGAGGGCAGTCATGATAGGTCCCTTTTTGTGAGCGCTCTATAGCCTCAGTAATAGTGTCAGGCCTTGGGGCTTCCCCTTGAGCTGGATCCCAATTTAGGCCCGTCACTGGACCTCCTTTTCCTCAGGCTCTTCTCCATTTTTGTCCCTGCAGTTCTTTCAGACAGGAACAATTCTGGGTCAGAGTTTTTGACTGTGGGATGGCAACTCCATCCCTCCACTTGATGCCATGTCTTTCTACTGGAGGTGGGTTCTACAAGTTCCCTCTCCCCTCTGTAGGGCATTTCATCTAAGGTCCCTCCCTTTGAGTCCTGAGAGTCTCTCACCTCCCAGGTCTCTGGTGCATTCTAGAGGATCTCCTCACCTTCTACCTCCCAGGGTTGCCTGTTCCCACCCTTTCTTCTGGCCCTTAGGGCTTCAGTCTTGTTTCCCACCCACCCCCATTCAATACCTGATCATGTTGCCCTCTTCCCCTCACTGTCCCCTTTCTCACTCAGGTCCCTCCCTCCATCTCCCCTCTTGTGATTGCTTTCTTCTCCCTCTCAAGTGGGATTGAGGTGTCCTCACTTGGGCTCTTTAGTTTGTTAACTTTCATGTGTTCTGTACATCGTATCCTGGGTATTCTGTACCTTTTTGGCTAATATCCACTTATTAGTGAGTACATACCATGCATGTCCTTTTGGGTCTGAGTTACCTCACTCAGGATGATATTTTCTAGTTCCATCCATTTGCCTGCAAAATTCAAGATGTCCTTGTACTTAACAGCTGAGTAGTATTCCATTGTGTAAACAAACCACATTTTCTGTATCCATTCTTCTGTTGTGAGACATCTGGGTTGTTTCTGGCTTCTGGCTATCACAGATAAGGCCACTATGAACATAGTGGAGCATGTGCTCCTGTGGCATGATGGGGCATCTTTTGGGTATATGTCCAAGAGTGGTATAGCTGGGGCATGTCTGTTTTCCTGATTGTTAGTTGACACAGTAGGGCCCAGTCCACAGTGAGCGATGCCATCCTGAAGCAGGTGGTCCTAGGTTTTATAAGGAAATGTTAGGTTTGGGTGGAAGCCGAGAAAACTCATTTAGGATACAGAGGCTTAAAAATGAAAGTTTTATTTCCTGAGCAGTCAGGGAGGCGGCCAGTTTGGGATCTGAACCTCCTCCCCAAAGGGAGATTGTACAACATTTTAAAGGATGGAAACATGAAGCCAGGGGTGATCTGGGGTGAGCTGCAGTGTTATCTAATTGTATTTTGACATTATGGGTTAAGCAAGGGAGTACTCATAGGAGACTGGGCCATGCCAGGGCAGCTGGCTTCAAGGTCCTTAATTAACTTTTGTAGACATTAGGTCCAGAGGTCAGAGTGATAAAGGGACAGAGGAGCAGCTCAAGTGCGTGCTAGGGTATAACAGGCAGTTGGTTATAGATTTTTGTAATTTATGCATCTTCGTTTAGATAACAGAGATTTCTATATTCTTTACCGATTAACAGACAATTAAGAAAACATTTGGAGACGTGGGATTGGTGTTCGTTCCTAGGCCTCGAAATATGAACTTGTTTAATCCTGCCAGCAAGATGGAGACGTTGTCACTGAGATGGCTGGACTCAGACAGCTCTCTTTTTATTTTTTTCCTTTTTTATTAGATATTTTATTTCTATTTCAGTTCTTATCTTCTTTCCCCATTTCCCCAACCCAGAAACCCCCTATCCCATCCCTCCTCCTCCTGCTACTATGAGGATGTGCCCCCACCCATCCACCCACTCCCACC